GAGGGGGTGGTGGGGGATGGGGTAAGGGGACAACATAGGAAATGTAAATAAATCATCCAATAAAAAAAAAAAAAGAAAGAAAGAAAAAATAAAAGAAAACAAACAAAAAAAAGAAATATTCCCTGAAAACTTTGGTGATAAAATATAAATATACTTTACATCTAAAGTAAAAGAATTTGTGAAAGGTAATATGTAACAAAACAGATTCTGTTGGAGAGTTTTGGGTTACTGTATAGTCATCACACAGAAAAAGGAAATAAACAAAATTTAACTGAATTAATTTTTCTATTGATATTTTATGGATGGTAAGGAAGAGATCTAGCTATTTTTGGCATGAGATTCAAGGAGCCAGCCTACTTTGGGTGGTCTATAAAAATAGACTCTAGCTGCAGGAAATGGCTAATCTGTTTGAGCCAGGTCTGGTGATGTACGACTGTAATCTAGCTTATTCAGGAAGGTGAGGTGGGAAGATTACAAGTTCCCAGCCTGTTTGAGCTCTACAGAGTGAGTTCAAGGGCAACCCTGACATCTTAGCAAGACTATGAATGAAAATAAGAACAATTAGACTAGGCATAGCTCAGTTGGTAGGGGTTTACCTAGCATACCCACAGCCTTGCTGCATAAACCACACTCCTATAATCCTAGCATATGAGAGATAGAGTCAGGAGGATTAGAAGTTCAAAGTTGTCCTTAGCTATATAGCAAGTTTGAAAGCAGCATGAGCTACATGAGAACCTGTCTCAAAAACAATCTACAGAATCAGACTTTGTTATTGTGACTATTTGAATTGTCACTTACAAAAGATAAAAATGTATTAAAGAAAAGAAGAAATCCAAATACATAAAAGTAATGAAAGATAAAGTTGATTAGAACATTTTGGAGCAAACTAGACATATCCTAAAATGAACAAAACATCAACTAACTTAAACCAACTACACCAGCTGGAAAGATGGCTCAGTGAGTAGATTTCACAGTAACTACTTTGGACCTGAGTTTGGGTCCTCAACACTATTTAATAGCCAGTTTTGGCAGGGGCTTGCTGGCCAGCCAGTCTAGATTCACTGAGAGACCCTGTCTCAAAAAATAAGGTGGAGATTCAGTAGAGGAAGACTCTTAGCATTGACCTCTAGCCTTCATACACCCATGTTTGGGCGAGTCTACATAGAGATGCACACACTTCCATACACACACACCACACACACACACACCTGCTCCACAAATACAAAGAAAAATAAACCAAGTGTAACAGAGATTAAAAAGTGTCATGAGAGATGTTAAAAGACATGAGAGTATACCACCATAATCATGATCAGAGTGACACCATTGTAACCAGGTGA